TCCTCATCTCTGAAAGAGTGACCGCTGGCCTGTAAATGAGTGAAAACTGCAGAGTTCTGGCCATTTTAATCAGCCAGTTGCTTTTTTATTAGCTACTTAGCATGTTGAACACGATTAGTAAGACTGGGCGGTCAGATCTAAAATGAGGATTTTCACACAAAAAACAACAGTTCAAGTGAGTTGAAGAAACGTATAGGTGTTATAAAGAGAAAGCTGTATAAAAACTGGTTCAAGATAGAAATATTTATTATGGCTTTAACAAAGAAACTTGTCACTTAAACAGTTYAATAAAGGTTAGCCATTACGCTTTAATCTTGGCACTGAAACATTATGACCTGAAATATGAAGTATTTCATTTATTTTTATATATATGTTGACAGTAAAAGTTGTACATTTGTGCATGTGACAACATTTTTTTATTGTACAGAATGTGCAAGCCATGAAACATCGTCTGTAAACTGAACACATGCAGGAAAAGATTAGCATCCAGCAGCAACAGAAGCACAAAGGAAAACAGCGAAATGATACAAGCATCTCAGAACGTTTGATTCGTCACAGATGCTAACCACAGCTGGTAAACATGCGGAGGAGACTGAGGACGTTCACAACAACCTTTATGTGTTGTTACAAGGAAACAGACAGGAGCACTGTAGTATTGTTTTATTTTTATAGTTTGAAATTGTTCTGATCTTAAAAACTACTTCAGCCTTCCAGGTTAAAATGTCACCCGCTTCGGATGTTATCATCCATTAAATGAACGTTATTAGCCATTATCAGTCCCATAGAATGGCTTCAGACTGTCAGCTGGTTAGTATGAGGCATAAAACCACTAAGCTTTTTTTAATGCAATCTGATTAATATGACTCATAAAACTACTTAAGTTTTTTATGCAATCTGTTTAATATGAGGCATAAAACCACTAAGGTTTTTATGCAATCTGGTTAATATGACGTATAAAACTACTTAAGTTTTTTATGCAATCTGGTTAATATGACTCATAAAACCACTAAAGTTTTTTATGTAATCTGGTTAATATGAGGCATAAAACCACTTAAGTTTTTTATGCAATCTGGTTAATATGAGGCATAAAACCACTTAAGTTTTTAATGTAATCTGGTTAATATGACTCATAAAACCACTAAGGTTTTTTTATGCAATCTGGTTAATATGAGGAATAAAACCACTTAAGTTTTTTATGCAATCTGGTTAAAATGACTCATAAAACCACTAAAGTTTTTTATGTAATCTGGTTAATATGAGGCATAAAACCACTTAAGTTTTTTTATGCAATCTGGTTAAAATGAGGCAAAAAAAAACCACTTAAGTTTTTTATGTAATCTGGTTAATATGACTCATAAAACCACTAAGGTTTTTTATGTAATCTGGTTAATATGAGGCATAAAACCACTAAAGTTTTTTTATGTAATCTGGTTAATATGAGGCATAAAACCACTAAGCTTTTTTTTAATGCAATCTGGTTAATATGACGCATAAAACTACTTAAGTTTTTTATGCAATCTGGTTAATATGACTCATAAAACCACTAAGGTTTTTTATGTAATCTGGTTAATATGAGGCATAAAACCACTAAGCTTT